AACCCCATGGGGCAGTTCTCTGTCCCATGGGGCTGTCAGGAGTCAGAAATTGGCTGGATGCCACCCAACCCAAGAAAGTTGAAAGAGACAAAGGTCCTTCCTCAAGAGGAGAATGAGACTGTCCTCCAGAGGCAGGAGACAACCCAGCCAGCCCTCCCCACTGTAGCCTTTAACACCTGGCTATGTCTAGGTCAGGGCAGCCCCAGGCCCAGAGGCATGTGAGGTGGCCGATGTCTGGGAACACTGGGCTGCGCAACGACCTCCCCGCCCCGCATCCTTCAGGGGGCTGGGACCGACCCCCGATCTCAGAAGGCAGATGGCAATCCAAGTGCGAGCATCCGCTCCCAGAGGCCACCTCGGGGCTAGAAGCCTCTCCAGGATGCCCCACGGGCATTAGCGCTGCAAGGAGCAATGTGGAAACAGCCCGCCCAGCTGCCCCCGTTCTGCAATGAGGACATGGGGCCCAGAGGAGGCAGGCAGTACCAGGTCAGAACTAATTGGGGGCACTGAGCCAAGAGCCCCTGGGGCCAGTCCACAGACAGATGGCCGACTCAACGCGCAGGGCTCCTGGTTTCCGTGGCTGCCGTGCGCACCCATGGCCAAGGACGCTGTCGGTGGCGGGGCCGTGCAGCGGCACAGGCCTGCAGAACGCGGCTCTGAAGTTGTGGGTGGTGAGGAGCCCTCCGTGCTGTTCGCGTGTGGTGCTGGGGGGGCCTGTTATCAGCCCGTGTCCCCATGCGTCAGCTGCCCGACCCCTGTCCTGGTGTTTTTATGCTAGTGTGCTGGGTGCTGTCAAGGCCATTCCTTCTCATAGCAACCCCAAGTGACAAGACACAACAGCCCCCAAGGGTTTCCCAGGCTGTGGTTTCTCTGAGAGAAGATGCCACTGACCTTCCCAGTTATCCCTCACACCACCAGGGCTCCCCTTTGTTACATCAATGGGGCCAACAGCCTACACCCAACAGCCTCAGATACACAAAAGGAACAAAGGAGGCGGAGGGAGCTACAAGCACAAAGCCAGGGGAAGGCGGGGAGCTCACCCAGGGACAGGAGCGAGTGCTACAGAACCTACAGAACCCGAGCGGGGCAAGGACCTTACCCGGAGCCCACAGAGCCAGCCTTCTCCAGAGCCCACACCTTGAATTCTGGCTGCTAGCCTCCTGAAGGAGGTCTAGTGGCACAGCAGTTAAAGCACTCTGCTGCAAATCAAAATGTCGATGAACTGAACCTACCAGTGGCTCTGCAGGAACCCCTGTGGGACAGTTCCACTCTGTCCTCTAGGGGCGCTGTGGGTCAGAATGGACTCCACAACAGTGGGTGTGGTTTGGGCTTTGCCTCTGTGAGACTGACAGCCTTGGAAACCCTGTGGGACAGTTCCACTCTGTCCTCTAGGGGCGCTGTGGGTCAGAATGGACTCCACAGCAGTGGGTGTGGTTTGGGCTTTGCTTCTGTGAAGACTGACAGCCTTGGAAACCCCGTGGGGCAGTTCCACTCTGTCCTCTAGGGGCGCTGTGAGTCAGAATGGACTCCACGACAGTGGGTGTGGTTTGGGCTTTGCTTTTGTGAAGACTGACAGCCTTACAAACCCTTGGGGCAGTTCCACTCTGTCCTCTAGGGGCCCTGTGAGTCAGAATGGGCTCCAGGAAGTGGGTAGCGGAGTCTCCCAAAGTGAGAGTGAGTTCCTGTACCTGACAGCCCCCCTGTGGTGTTTCTGTCTGCAGCCCCAGAAGACTCAGAGAGACACTGGGCAGCTCAGGGTGTTTAGTTGGGTCCTGGTTTGAGATTAGATTCTGCCACTGTCGGGCCTCGTCGGGCCTTCTCTGCACTGCAGGATTGCTCTGTGGGTGGACAAGTCCCTTGGCAGTGGGGCTGGGCCCCCAGTGTGCGGTGCATGAAGGGCCTGGTAGAGGCTGAAGCAGCCAGGTACTGTGCACATCTGAGACCTGTGCAGGAGGACACCCACGCAAGCTTCCCAGTGACCCCACATGGTTGCCCTTTCAGAGACAAGGAAAAGTGCCCACCCAGGGAGGCCAAACTGGCAATGTGGCCAGCTTGAGACCCAGTGTAAAGGAAGAAAAATGAGGGGCCACCCAGTGCTCGAGATGACTGGGCGAGTTGCCTGAACCACACTCCCCTGCTGCGGACACCTCTGCCCGCCCCCCGTGTCACACCTCTGTGGTCACATTACTGTTAAATTTCAACTAGAGGCAGTCTTGTCTCAAGCCCACAGCTGGTCTCCCGAGGGCCAAGATCCTCCCGGGGCCTCAGTATCCCTCAGCCAGGGCCTGGTAGTCTCTGCCGGGGCCCCAAGTCCTCTCCTAGCTCTCTGGAACCCCACATGCTGCAGAAAGTGTCAGCTAATCAGCCTGACCACTGAGGGTGGCTGGGGAAAGGGTTCTGGGGCTTGGGCCTCACAGAGGAGGGCGGGGAGAAAAGGGGAGGAATAGGGGACAGAAGGAAGAGGGGGAGGGGAGAAGACAGGTAGCCTGGGCAGTGAAAGGAGGGAGGGCCCTCTGGAAAGGGGGAGGGGCTGCCAGGGACTGGACCCTCTGCCAGCACAGGAACCAGACAGACGGGTGGTAGAACACAAAGAAGGTTCCACAGGCCCTCTCTCATCCTTCTGACCACACTGGACACATCTTATGTACCTAACGTGTCAACAGAACATGTTCTTTGAGGCCCCAGGTCTGTGAGCACTGCAGGCTTTCCTGCAGCACCAGGGGCAGCAGGGATGGAACACCTCTGCAGCTGCCCCACCAGCTGGCTTCATGCCAGCACCTCAGATGGAGGCCCCCTATTGGCTTCATGCCAGCACCTCAGACAGAGGCCCCCTATTGGCTTCATGCCAGTACCTCAGACGGAGGCCGCCTATTGGCTTCATGCCAGTAACTCAGATGGAGGCCCCCTATTGGCTTCATGCCAGTAACTCAGACGGAGGCCCCTGGATTCAAGACACAAAGGACGAGGCCTGTGCTCACCTCTCATGTATTCGATGGTGCCGTCAAGCACGAGGTTGAGGAGGGGGTCGAACCCTTTCAGGATTCCACTGGCTTGTAGAAATCACCAGAGAGAAAAGAGAAAGGAGAGGGCGTGAGATCAACATGCATTCTTTGGACGAGTGTCCTCCATGCCTGGGCCCCAGGCAGATTCACACCCCCACAAGACACAGATGTGAGGGACCACCTTCCTGGGGACACAGGGTCTGGGGACACAGCAGGGGTGGGGGGATGAGGGGAGGGGACCTGAAAACCCAGTGACAGCTGGTTGTAGGCAGACAAACCCATGAGCAACTGCAGAGGTGAGTCTCTGGGACAAGGACTGTACGGCCCACGAAACTGAAGCTATTTATTCCCTCTCTGGCCCAATGGAGAAGTCGGTCTGCCCCTGGTATGGACGCCACCTGACCTCCCAGGTCTGAGCCAGGGTCTTTGTGGCTTCCTGCTGTGTAATCCTGTGCCTGGAGGGCCCCCAGACTGGGTCAGACTCCTCCTCCACAAAACGCACTGACACTGACTCCATTCCGACCCACAGCGCCCCTAGAGGACAGAGTGGAACTGCCCCAGAGGTCTCCAAGGCTGTCAATTTTTACAAAAGCTGACTGCCTCATCTTTCTCCTTCGGAATGGGTGATGGGTTTGAACCACTAATCTGAACCACTAATCGTTTGGTTAGCAGCTAAGCATCTAACTACTGTGCCCCCAGGGCTACTTTCTTCTCTACACATCCCGACTGCCACCTCAGTGTTCAGGCCAGCGTCAGAGGCAATAATGCAGGCCAGGTGCTTGGCACAGGGCCAGGTGCACAGTAAGCCTGAACTGCCCACGAGTGAGCAGAACCCAACCTAGCTCTGCCCTCAGAGAACTCACCATCCAAACACAGCTTCTCGTGGGGCAGAGTTAAGCACCATGTTAGGAGCATAAAGCCACAAAGTACATGAGCTTGTTGCTCTGAGCTCCCTCAAGGTGCCCAGACTATCCCACACACACCAGAATGAAATGCGGCCTGGTCCTATGTCATTGCCACAATCGCCTGGGGACTGGACAGTTGGGGTCCACAGGGTTCTCACTGGATGAGTTTTGGAAGTTGATCCCCGGGCCTTTCTTCCCAGCCCATCTTAGTCTGGAAGCTCTACTGAAACCTGTTCAGCATCCTAGCAACACGCAAGCCTCCGCGGACAGACGGGTGGGGGCTGTGTGTGAGAGGCACTGGCCAGACTGGAACCTGGGTCTCCTGTTTGGAAGACAAGGATCTTACCTCTAAACCACCAACCTCTTCCTGGCAGGTGCTACCAGGAGCTTTTATCAAAGAGGCCTGACCTAAGGGTCAGGGAAGGTTCCCAGACTGGGAGTAGGTTCACCTGGCAAGTTCACCTGGCGAGAGTATGCGAGGCCAAGAGCAAACAAGCGCCCTTCCTGCCCTGTGCCTGTCAGGCGCTTGATGCAATTCACAGAGGTCCAGCTTTGAGCTTTTGCTGGCACAATGGGGAGCCACAGAGGGTTTAAGCAAGGAGCAGAGATTCGGGTTCTGTTTCTCACAGGTCCCTCTGCTGGCTGGCTAAGTGGACACTGACTGCAGGACTGGGGTTCTTCACCAGGAGCGATTTTGCCCCAGGGGACACAAGGTGATGTCTAGAGATACTTGTGGTTGTCACGATTTAGGGGAGGGGGTGCAACTGGCACCGAGTGGGCCAGGGATGCTGCTCAACACCCTGCAATGCACAGGACGGCCCCACCCCAGAAAACGCTCTGGCCGCCCTGTCGGCAGTGCAGAGGCTGAGAAACTCGGGGAGAAGACGGAGCTGGAACGGAAGCCTCCTGGGCGGGAGCTGAGGAACAGAGCCACAAAGGTGGCAAACTTGTGAACCCCAATCCCGGCTGGGCCACTGGGAGTTTGGTTTAAGTTTGTTCCCCGCTCCGTGCCTCAGTTTCCCCACCTGAAAATGGACCCAACTGCATCTACCTCCCGGCGTTGTTAGGAGGATTTGACGAGTTAGTTCGTATGCAACGCATAAGGCAGTGCGTAAACAGCAGAAGCGTTGCCTAAGACTTAAAATCTTATTGGCTTTGTTGTTAGTTATTTTAAATTATCAAGGGAGGTGCTGGCGGCGGCTGCCTCACCTTCTCGGCCTCCCTGAAACTTCACCCGGATCGTCTTGTCGATGTACTTGGACAGGTCCAAGATGCTCTCCTTCTTCTTCTTCTCTTTGTCCTACAGGGAAAGCAGAGCGCGTAAGGCGGATAGCGCGCCCCGCCGGCCCCGCGCCGCCCGCCTGGGCCCCGCCGCGCGCTCACCGCCATCTTGTCGCGTCGCGCCACTCTGCGCAGGCGCCGCGGGCGCGCCCTTTGACGTCACCCACGAGCGCACAGGCGCCGCACAGCCCCGGGGCGTTGCTGGGAAACATCAGCCGACGGCTGCGGCGGGGACCAGCCGATATGGCGGCGGCGGCGCTGGCGCTGGCGCGGCTCGGGGCGGCTTTGCTGCTGCTCGCGGCCCAGGTGAGGGCTGCGCCCGCCCGGCACTCCGCAGGCTGCCACTCTCCTTGTCCCGCGCCCCTGGGGACCCTTGCGGGACTCGGCCCAGCCCGACTTGGGGGGCAGCCTTGGGGACCCGCGCCCCCCGTGCTCGGTCCTGTGGGTCTGGGGCTCGAAGTGACCTTGCGGGCCCTTCCCCGGCTCCTCTCCCTTCCTCACTACGGAAATCCACCCCTGGCTGCAGCGTCACACACTTTCGGCCGGGGCTGAAGTTTGTGAACCCCAGGTCTTCTCCTCCCCGAGTCCTGCCGTTTCTCGGGGTCTTCCCCAACAACCGCCCGCAACGCCCCTCTCTGGCTCTGCGGCCTTGGCCCGGTGGCTGCGCCTTTCTGAGTCTCAGTTTCTCCTTATGGGAAATGGGCATGCTGCTACCACCGGCGGGGGCCAGCTACGTGCCTGGCTCGTGGAGGGGCGGCTAAGAACCCAGCCCTGCAGTGGGGGGAATCCCCCGCCCCATCTTTTACTCCGTGACCTTGGGTAAAGGGAATTCCCTGCTTTGAGCGCCAGTTGCTCATCTGCAAAAGGGGGGACAGCGGTGGAATTGCGTGAATTGAACGAGGACTCAGTGTGTTACTAGTCGTTTAACGTCAAGGGTCTCAGCTTCTCTCGAGGCTGGGGTGGCGAGATAGCTCCTGCTCACTGCCCTAAGTGCGTCTCTTTTCCAAACCTCCCTTCTCTCCCGGGTTACGCAGCAGCTCTGGGAATGGTGCGCCGTGGGTCCTCGCTGCTGCTCATTAACCTTGAATCCTCCTCCCTGACGGTCTCGGGAACCTGCCCACCACTAGCACCACTGCTAGGGCTCCCCTCTGCTCTCCTAGGGACCCCTCCCGCCCCTCCCCCATCCGTTCTCCTGCAGCAGGAGTGATCTTTGTCAAGACCTTCAGATGTTGTGGCATCCTGATGAGAGCCTTCGTGTGGTTCGTTGTCACCTTTAGAAAGGACTTTGTGATCTGATTGTTCACAGAGCCACTCTCTCCTTCCCTCTGGGACAGGATGCTGGTTACCCCCGAATTCCCCTCCTCCACCCCTGGCCTGGTTCACCGCTGGTCATCCTTCTGGTCTCCACTTGCCTGCTCCTCCCTCTCAGAAGGTCTCTGGGACCGCCCACCCCAGCACCCGTTGCTGCCCCAGTTGTAGCCCTGAATAAGAAGGTGGGCCACCTTCTTAGTCTTCCTCACCAGTCTGTGAGCAGCTTGAAGGCAGGGACATAAATTTAGCTCAGGATGTTTGCAGGGAGATTCCAAGAGCTAGAGATGGATGAGGGATTGTGGGAATGCCGTGCACGTGCGACTGGTAGATTCACCTGGGGAGGTTTTTCAGAAGCACTGACACCCGAGGAGGGTTGGGAAAGATGAATAGGGCTTTGCCAGGTCTGGAGGGAAGGGGAAGGGTGTTGCAGGCAGTGGGAGCATGAGCAAGGCCAGGAGCCACAGAGCTGGTGATAATTTGAGGACTATGTGTATAGCATGGCCTCGTGCTTGGAGAGAGCTGACACTCAAAGAAGGGAGACCCTTCAGATAGGCCTGATGGGGGCTGGTGGGGCTGGGGGCGTGTCTGCAGCCAGAGGGTCAGTGTGGCCAGAATCCCTGGAGTGCTTGTGGTGCTGGGCAGTTGGCACTTTGTTCAGACTTTATCCTGGGTAAGGGGAGCCACAGAGGGTCTCTGAGATGCTCGGGGAGCATGCTGGGCCCTGCTCCCTGAACCCTGGTGAGGCCCCTCGTGGGCATTGTCCCAGTGCCGGGGGCGTCTCGTGAGTCATGTGGAAATGTGTGTCTGAGTCCTGGCTCCCAGGAGTAAGATGAACTTTCCCACTGGGCGTAGTGTGCTTGCTGGCAGTCCAGAGTTCATGGGCCCAGGGTGAGGGTTGTGACCTGTCCTGATGCTACCCTCCTCCCCCAGTATATGAAACATGGATGAGGCAGAGTATGAAGGCTGCCCCTTTGCCCCCTCCACCTGCCCCCCAGCCCCTCCTCCACCCTAACATCTTTGTTTGCACGGTTCCTGGGTCCTTATGGTTTTACCCCCACCCAGAACTCACCAAGTCATCATAGCAGGAGCAGTCTCTGGGTGGGTATTGGGTGAACGTGCTCAGTTGCTCCCCAGCAGGCTAGACGTTCACGTCCACCCAGAGGCCCCTCAGAAGAAAGGCCTGGTGACTTGCCTGCAACACTCAGCCACTAAAAGCCTATGACGTGCAGTTCTGCTCTGACGCACTGGGGACGCCATGAGCTGGGGTTGGCTTCATGGGTTTTCTTGAAGAAGGACTCCGTAGCCTGGCTCCTCTGTGTCCTCTGATGTTGACCACTTTCACGCTGATTGTGTAGCTTCTTTGTGCTGTTGGGTGCCCTTGAGTCGACTCTGACTCATAGTGACCCCGTGTACAACAAACAAAACACCGCCCGGTCCTGCCCCACCCTCACGGTCACTGCCGTGCTTGAGCCCCTCGTGGCAGCCATGGTGTCGGTCCATCTCATTGAGGGCCGTCCCCTTTTCGCCGATGCTCCACTTTACCCAGCAAGACATCCTGCTCCAGGACTGGTCCCTCCTGATCACACGTCCAAAGTACAAGAGGCAAGGCCTCGCCATCCTTACCCCAAGCAGCATGCTGGCTGTCCTCTTTCCCAGACACACTGGTTGGCTCTGACGGTCTGTGGCACACTGCATATTCTTCAGCAGCCCCATAGCTCAAAGGCATCAGGTCTTCTGTGGTCTTCCTTCTTAGTTTCCCTTGACGTTCTTTATCAGCTTGGAACTGTGACCCGTGAGAAGGCAGAGCCCTCACCTTTGGGCCTATCCTGGGTATTTCTGGGTCTCCAGAGATGGACGGAGCAGACTAGAGCCAGGGCTTTGTAGACTGTCCTTTTGAAGAACGTCTTGTAGTCCCCATAACGTAGCAAGCAGGAAGACTGTGGGGTCTTTTGTCGAGGGGAAGTCAGTTTGCTTTGTAAATTGGAGGGAGGGCCATCTGAAGCCTGTTTTTGCTCCCTCAAACAACCTCTTTAAAAGAAACTTTCTATCAATGTCCATAGTACACAATTGGGACGTTGCAGCCACAGTCCGGATCCCGTGGAGCAAGCCTCAGAAGTTGCTGTGGGAAGGGTCGGGTAGTCAACACTTTTTTTTTTTTTTAATTTTATTTTGATTTGGGTGAAGATTTACAGAGTAAATTCACTTTTCATACAGCAGTTCACATATACTTTGTCACTGACCAAAATTTACAATGCAGCAGCTCCCCTCCCACTTCCTCCCCATAGTTACCTCTTCCCAGTGTCCATCCCTTCATACTCTTCTGCACCCTGAGCTATCTCCCTGTGCATAAGCAGCCCTTCCTTCTCCCATGATTGTTCTCTCCAGGGTGTGTGTCTACTTGAGGTAAATGTTTAACTCACATGCCTGTACTTTGTTTGGCTGGAAACCACAGGTGCGGGTTCAATTCCAGACCTGAGGGGCAGCTAAGGTCCATAGTCTCAGTGGTTCCACCAGGCTCTATTGTACCAGCAAACCTGGTCCCCACCTTTTTTTTTTTTTTGCCTCCAAATGATTTTGAGTTTTGTTCCACATTGTTCTCCCTCTTTATGCAGGATCTCCTACATCCCTTCCAAGTGGATGGCAGTGGTAGCTGGGCACCGTCTAGTTCTTCTGGTCTCATAGTTGTATAGGTTGCAGATCGGATGGTGTACCAGTCGCTAGGACTGATTGTTTCCATTAATTTTGGTTTTCTTCTTTCTTCTTGACGAGGAGAGACCCGTTGTTGTATCTAGATGGCAGCTTGCTAGCTTTTAAGATCCTAGTCGCTACTCGCCAAAGTAGTAGGTGGAACAATGTTTTGTATAGTATGTTATGCCAATTGAGCTTGATGTCCCCTGTGACTATGGTCCCAAGCCCGCAGGATCAACTACTCGGTCCCTCTGGGTAGCTGGCTGAGGTCAACACTTTCTGCTCTGCAGGCATGCCATCTCTTTTGCAACTGCTCAGCTCTGTCATGGTGTGAAAACAGGCACAGACTGTGGATACACAAGTGGCCACAGCCCTATGCCAGTAAAACAGAAGCAGGAGTCAGGCCAGTTTGGCCTGTGGGCTTCTGACTCCGTTGGAGAGGCAGGCCCAGAGCCTGGCTGGATACTGAGCTATGACTCTCCGCCGGGTCTGTGGGGAAGGGTGTACGGCTGCCTGAGGGGTGTCCTTACGTGGGGAGAGCTGGTGGCAGGGTCTCCTGATCCTGCCTTGGGGTCTAAGAGAACTTGGGTCATCTCAAACACCCCATCTTAGCCACTACTCGGCAGAGTGACTCCCGCTGCGTCAGCAGGGCTCTTCTGCAGCCTCGTCCAGGCCATGGGAGCAGTTACTACCTGTTTGTCACCAGGACAGGACCCAGGAGGCCTCCAAGGAGCTGTGCACTCGAGCCCACAGAGAACAGGGACTCCCAGGGTTTGCACATGACACAGTGTGTAGCACCAGGCTTTCCCTCCCGGGGCACACCCCTGTCCCGCTGGCAGGCCTGGGGGGATCTTCCCAGACCCAGAGACGGGGCTGCCACAGGCCCTGTGTCCTGGCTCATGCATGACAAAGCAGCAAGGACGTGGGCCCTGATGCCATGAGACTGCCACCACTGTCCCGGTGCCCTGGCCTTGGGGATCCTGAGCCCTTTGCCTGGAGCTGGCACACAGAGGGGAGCTGTGGGGGGCAGGTGGAAGGGCGTCATGAGCACTCCAGTCTGGTACCAGGTGTGGGGGTGATATGACCTGCTGTCGTGCTGGCTGGAGGGACCACCTGAGCCCCAGCCAGCTGCCACACTGGCACGTGGTGCAGGGCAGCACCCTCGAGCCTGTTGGGGGCCTGAAGTGGTCACACAACACCCTGCAGGGAGCCTGGGGTTGCTCTTGTGGCCCTGCTGTCCCACCTCCTAGGAGTGCCTCCAGCTGTCCCCAGGCTTTGTAACCCAGAGGGTCCCAGAAGGCGGGTGACCCCCTGTCACAGACATGGAGATTTAGGAGCCAGCGGGGTGGTGGTAGTGGGGACAGACAGGTCAGCTGGGTCCAGGGAGGCTGTCTGTCTCACCTTCCCTGCCACTCTCCCCTCCCTGTGGCCAGGTCACCACCTGTCCCCAAACCTGATGAGTCTCAGAGGCCACCCTTCACCAAACACCCTAGACCTTCCTCCAGGGCCCATCCAATCCTGGGGGCTCTCCTGACACTGGCTACCCACCCTGCAGGTGGCCTGTGAGTACGGAATGGTACACGTGGTGTCAGAGTTTGGTGGCCCCCGAGGCCGGGACTACTGTGTCCTCTACAACCCACAGTGGGCACACCTGCCACATGACCTTGGCAAAGCGGTGAGTGCTCACAGCTCACAGGGGTGGGAGGGATCTGTCTGAGGAAACCAAGGGGGGCCCTGGGGAACCACCTGCCTCTCAGAGCCCAGGGGAAGGGACAGCTTGGTGAGCGGCTGGGACACGGGGACAAGGCTTCCAGTTCATCGGAACATGGGTGGGAGCTATGGGCTGCTGACTCCAGAGCCCGAGGGCATAGCAGGGTGGGCTTCATGGGGCAGGTACGACTCCAGCCCCTCACCTCGCTTGGTACGGCCCCGAGGCGTTGGGGTAAAGACACCACGAGGGCCTCAATGACGGGTGAGTCACATCTTTCCCACAAAGGCAGCTCGCTCCGCAGCCCGTGGCCTGTCCCCCTGCCCCCCTGCCCCGCTTGTGGACCCAGCTGGCCCAGGGTGGGTCCCAGTGTCCTGTGCAGCATGTGACCACAGCCCCTGTCCCCTAGCCTCTGCTGCAGCTTCGGGACTGGTCGGCCTCCGTGCTCTGCTCACCCGCTGACCTCCCTGCCGGGGGCTTCAGTAACCAGATCCCACTGGTGGCGCGGGGCAACTGCACCTTCTACGAGAAAGTGCGGCTGGCCCAGGGCGGCGGGGCCCGTGGGCTGCTCGTCGTCAGCCGGGAGAAGCTGGTACGTGTGGCCTTGTGGGCACAGTCACCTTCTTAGCCCGTCTGGGCCAGGATCTGTCCTGGTGCCAGGGCCCTGCTGCCTGGGGGGAGGACACCAGATGAGAGGCTGAGGTGAGTGAGGCAGGCTGGTCCTGGCACTGCCAAGGAGCTAGACGGTGGCCAGAGGAGCTGGTGGGAACAGGGGTTGTATACCAGGGCTGATTCCCCCCACGGGTCTACCCCTTCCTGTGGTTCTGGTCCCTTCCTGTGTTTGGAGGGGAGCAGATCAGGGTCCTGGTGGCTGTAGGGACAGAAAGAGAGATGGGTGTGTCCGGGGATGCCGAGTGCTCACAGGGCCTGGGCCTCGGGCTGGGGCCGTGGGAGACGAAGATAGGTGTTGGGGTCCTCTCTGCTCTGCTGGGGCCAGTTCTGCTTTGGGGACAGGTGTCAGACGTGGTCCCCACAGAGCCTGGCTCTGAGCACAGACAAGCTACCATCTCTGCCCCTCCTGTCTGCATGGAGCTTTCAGTGCAGGCTGGGGCCAGGGCTGGGGCAGTCACGGCCGTCAGGCAGAGCTTAGACCAGGAGGACCTGACCTCACGAGGAGGTTCTGGAAACTGGCCCTTCGGAGAGGACCCGTTTCTGACACGTTTCTCTGCTGAAGTATCTCACCTAGAGTCGGCTTTGTTAGAGGCGTCCCCGCCCAGTGGTTGCTAACAGCAGAGACAGGCTCAGGGGGACCCTGCTCCAGCCCCAGACATCAGCAGTGTCCACCTCTCGTGTAAGGGCCTTTGCCAGCCCCGGGCCTTCCCTCCCCCTCTTGGCGTCCAGGTGCCTCCCGCAGGCAACAAGACGCAGTACGAAGAGATTGGCATTCCCGTGGCCCTGCTCAGCCACCGGGACGCACTGGACATCTTCAAGGTGGGCCCCCAGTATCTTCCTCCCGCTCTGAGCTCGAGGGGTCCCCCAGCTGTCACCTGCGTACACACCCATGCCCATATATGCGCATACACGTGTGCGTACATGCACACACTTGGTGCATACACATCCGTGCACACACGTGTACATACATGCACACGCTTGGTGCATACACATCCGTGCACACACGTGCAGGCGTCTGGGATCAGCGTTTGTGGTTACATGAATGAGAGGGCGCTTTTGTCCTGTCCTGGCCATGGCAGGGTGTTCCCATCAGAACGGGGGTGGTGGGGGAGAGGAGGTCCCCGGGACAGGGTCTCCCAGCCCCATGTCAACACGTGGCTTCAGCTTTCTGCAGGGGCAGGGGACAGACTTGGGGACAGGGTTGCTGGAGCGCCGGGAGGAGCGCGGCCCTGGCGCTAAGCCCTGACGTGTTCCCCGTGGCAGAGTTTCGGTCGAGCAGTGAAGGCGGCGCTGTACGCGCCCAACGAGCCCGTGCTGGACTACAACATGGTCATCATCTTCATCATGGCCGTGGGTACCGTCGCCATCGGGGGCTACTGGGCAGGAAGCCGGGATGTGAAGAAGTGAGTGCCCCATGCAGGCGGGCCGTGTGTGTGTGTGTGTCGTGGACATGCGTGTATGTTGTGTGTGTACACATCCTCCCCCTCTGGCGAGTTGCATCCTCTAGCACTGTGGGAGGGAGGACATGGAAGTGGCAGGGCTGCTGAAAAGAGGGACGTCCTAGCTTCCGCTCGCCACTTACCCAGAGAACCTTCTGGTATGAGGCCTCTGTGCACACACCTGGGGGCCTTGTTCACAGGCCAAGGGCCCCGCTGCCGAGACACCTGGAGGTGGGATGCGGGTGGGGCCCTCGCTCCCTGAGAGCTGCGCGAGCCACTCTGCCCCCGTGTCCTCCAGGAGGTACATGAAGCACAAGCGGGACGACGGGCCCGACAAGCAGGACGACGAGGCGGTGGACGTGACCCCCGTCATGATCTGCGTGTTCGTGGTCATGTGCTGCTCCATGCTGGTGCTGCTCTACTGCTTCTACGACCAGCTCGGTGCGCCCCGGACCCTGCCCGCTCACCAGGGACCCCAGCCTCCCCAGCACCCCCACCCCCAGGACCCCACCCCACGCTGGACCCTGACCTCCCCCCTGGGACCCTAACCTTCCCCAGGCCCCAACCACTTCCAGGACCCTGACCCCAGAACTGGCCCTCAGTGGGGGGACTGCTCCCCTGAGTCTTTGGCCACCTCAGTGCCCCGCAGGCTTCATCCTGATGGGGGGGGCTGCTCAGGCCCAGCCCCGGGGCCCACCTGTCGGGAGACCCTGAGAGCTTGTTTCTGCCTGAGCGGCCAGCTGCAGGGCCGTGAATGGAGGCCTTGTCCCACGGTGGCCGCTGCAACAAGGGCCTGATTCAGGGCCCCGCTGCCTGGCCTTCCATCAGCGCCGCAGTCACTGAGCCGTGGCGGGCTCCGCTGGGGCTCGCACAGCCCTTCCTGGGTGGGAGCAGGGTGGCTGGCCAGCCCCTCATGGCCGCTCTGCCCACCACAGTCTATGCCGTCATTGGAATCTTCTGCCTGGCCTCTTCCATTGGCCTCTACAGTTGCCTGGCGCCCCTGGTCCGCAGGCTGCCCCTCGGCAGGTGCAGGTGCGCCCAGGCCTCCCGCTGCTCCCTGGGCCCCAGCAGTGGAGTCCAGGGCAGGGCAGGGCGCTGGAGGTTCAGACGGGGGTGGGATGCGGGCGGACGGGATGGCTTGGCAGGGGGAGCAGGGGGCCCTCGTTTTGGGGCGTGGTGGGGGCCTCACACCCGCTCCCGCCCACAGGCTCCCCGACAACAGCCTGCCCTACTTCCACAAGCGCCCGCAGGTCCGCATGCTGCTGCTGGCACTGGCCTGCGTCGCCGTCAGCGTGGTGTGGGGCATCTTCCGCAACGAGGACCAGTGAGTGTGGCCTGGGGGTGGCGGTGGCCGGACGGGGAGGGGGCGGGGACGCTGTCCTCACATGCACCGGTCAGGTTTGCACTGGGCAGCCCCGGGCCCCTGAGGCCATCGGGAGCAGCCCGGGCCAGGTCAGCACCTCGCTTATTAAAACTACCCCCGCCTCGGTGGCGGTGCAGCCTCCAGGTGCTGGCTGCGGCCCCGGCGGGTGGCGGCTGCGCGCCTGTCTCCTTCGGTGCCATGAATGTGATTGGAATCTGCATGTGAGACGCCGCTCCTGCCGCCAGGCACCAAGCTATATAGTCTCTGGGCTGACAGGGACATTTGGAGATCTCGCCGCACAGAAAACAGGAGCCCCTCAGAGGGTCCCAGCCAGGGAGACTCAGAGCCAACAAGTTTCCCCATGGCCCAGCGCAGAGGGTCACGGGTGCCCGTGGCTCAAGCCAGAGGAGCTGGGGGTGGGGGGAGGGGTGCCCCACCTCAGGATCGTACAGATGGGGAGATGGGGGGCCCCTCAGTAGTGCCAGGAACCCACGTGGGCCTCAGCAGTGTGAACATGTTTCTGGGAACTTCGGCTGCTGGCCAGGCTGTGAGTGGGCGCACTGGGCCTGTTGCCTGCCATGTCTGCAGTCTGTCCCCGTAGCCACTCGGGGAAACCTGGACACATCTGCTGTGCCCAGCCTGTACCCCAAGGCTTAAAGGCCTCAGACTCGGGGCTCACCAAGGCCAGCCACAGCCCCACCCCTCTGGGCTCGGAGGCTGTGTTGGAAGCTGGCTGACAGGAGCTCCTGTTTTCCCCATGTGGCTTGAAGCCAGTTGTCACAAAGTTGAGTCTGGCACGTGGGAAGGTTCTTCCTTGTCCCCACTCTGGGTCTCAGGTGAAAACCGCCATCATGAAGGGGAACATTGTTCCCAGTCAGCATGGGGACGGGTGGGCACATCCACCCCACACATCTGTCCTGTGAGCTGTGTCCCCAGTGCTCAACACAGCCCTCTGCTGCCTCTGAGCCGTGCTTCACAGCGTTACATGTGTGTCCCCCTGTCACATGCTCGGTCTGGGCCTCTGATGGTCAGAGGCCAAGGCCCCGAGAAGTGGGGTTGCTGCTGTGGTTGTGGCGTGTTGGTGCAGGACAAAGCCTGCGCCTGGCACTGACATCTGTCTTTCCCCCAGGTGGGCCTGGGTCCTGCAGGACGCCCTGGGCGTTGCCTTCTGTCTCTACATGCTGAAAACCATCCGCCTGCCTACATTCAAGGTGAGACGCCGCGGCAGGTGGGCAGCCTCCGTCCTGGTGGGGCCCTTTGCCCGTCCCTGAGCAGCCAGCTTGGAGCTGAGCACATAGTGGTGGCAGTCCCCATATCCTTGACCTGAGGGACACGTGATCAGAGCCCAGACAGGGCCTGCAGGCGCTTCTGTCCTGGGGACACCTGCCTGAGTGGAGAGAGGAGCAAGGTCTGAGAGGGCACAGACCCGCCCCAGCACCGCACCGGCCTCCTGTGCACCCCGGGCTCCTCCCGCTCAGAGCTCAGAACCTGCAGGAGCACAGGGCAGCCGTCAGGCCCCGGGGGTCGGGAGCCCCACGTGCCCAGCAGACAGCAGCTGTCAGGCCCTTCAGGGTCAGGGCCCTCGGTGCCGGGGCCCCGTGGGCACAGCGTCCCCCACCTTCTCACTTCACATCTCCTGCCTCCTGCAGGAGCGCCCCAGCCAGCTTGGGCTCCCTCAGGCCGAGTTGTCCTGCTCTGGGTCTCTAGTTAAAGCGTCATCCAGACGGAGAAGGATTGAACCTTCTCTGGGAGAAGAGAAGTCGAAGAAGCAGGGCCACAGGTCCTGGGGGTGGTTTCCACGCAGGGGTGGGGTGGGCCGGGGCCCACAGAACCTGCAGATGCTGGCGGGCCTCTCACAGGCGTCTGCCCCCAGGCCTGCACGCTGCTGCTGCTGGTGCTATTTATCTATGACGTCTTCTTCGTCTTCAT